ATATTTGCTTAATTTCTTAGAAATACAACACTGCTCTTTAATTTTTTTTTCTTTTTTTGGTGAACTCCAGATACTCTCAAGTGTTCAGGTTTGTCACTGATGTTTTACCATTTTTCCTCTCCATTCTACTAGTATGTAAAATATTAAGCAGTGTGAGATCTCGTCTGTGGGTCTTACGGTTGCAGAGATGCTCCGTGCTTTTTGAGTAAAATGTTCTGTAACATTTAGCAGAATGTGAACACCAAGGGCATAAATAAGATTGGCCATTCTAACAAAGCTAGGAAATTGATTTCTTGTCACATTGCCTTGTTTACATTGAATCCTTAGTCATATAGTCAGAGATTAAGGAACTATAGCCAGCAGGTAGCTTCCAATTTGAATGAAGTAGAGTTTGTTAAAGAATTTTACATAATCATAGCAGGATTTAGGCTGGAAGGTACCTCTCAATGTCTCTAGTTCAACCTATTCCTTCCTAACTGCCCTCCCCCCTGCCCTCATAACTATGAAGTCAGGTTGCTCAGGGGCTTTGAGAGGTGACTTCTGATTATCTCTTAGGGTGGTGATTAGCCAGCCTCTCTGGATAACAGTTCCAGTGCTCCTGGGGAGCATTTTTCCTTAAATACAGTCAGAATTTCCTTTGTTGCAACTTGAGCCTGTCGTTGTCTTTTATTGCTGTGTCCTACTGAGAAGAGTCTGGCTTCATGTTCTTTGTAACCTCCTCTTGGGTTGTAAATTCCCTGAGCTTTATCTTACAATTTGTCTTTTGCGCTGTTCATTTATACAGTCCAAGTCACTGGCTGAGCTGGCCCTTAAGAGGGTTGAATCATCTTCATCTGGATCTTGTACTTTGCCAATGAGGATTTGGGAGTTTGAAGTAGTGAACAGGCCTCATGTACAACTAGGCCTAGTCATGCTGCCTCCTCTAAGAGGGTAAGCTGAACAGAGTGCAGTATACACAAGTTTTAAAATTCTCTCTATCAGCTGGAAGTTGAGACCCAGCTATAACTCCCAGCAGTCAGGAGCAGGAGCACTACCCTCCCTGGGAGATATAGTGTCTCCCAAGTACACGAAGAGAAGATGAGAAGGTCCTTGACAAGGGTCTTGCTTGAGCTTTAAGCCATGTAGCTGAATACTGAAGGACACATTAAACCTTAAGGGATTAGGCTATGACTTCCAGTCAGAGTAGTGAAAGGCCTTTCCCTATAGTGCTGCAGTGTAGCCTGGGAAAGACTAAAGATAGAGAGGTCCAGCATTGTCAGATATACTTTTGACCTGTCAGTCTTTTTGCTACTTTCAATGAAGATGGAGATCTAAAGCACTGAACAACTTGAGAATATGCACACTTGAAGGTGGGGCAACTGGTGCAGAAACACACACTGATGCTTGAAGAGGCCCTGTTATACCAGATGTCTTATTATGTTGCCCATTTCTGTTTCCAGCTTCTTTCTCCTGCCTCATGGGGCCCACAACTTTCAGAAATACCCTGTTCAATGTGACTCAAACATGAAAGGATCAACTGTACTTTCAGGCTCAACAGTTTAAAAACACAGGGATGAAAGAAGCAGTGGTCTTCACAGGCCACACATATATACACACAGTTCTTGGTAGTACCTGGGGCACATTTCGGTAGCTTTGTTCCCATCTCTTCATTGACCCATTCTCCACTGGCTGAGCACTGATACACCACTTTGAAAAACATGAGAAAAAAAAGAACTTCCATAAGGATATAATCAAGATGAAGAGAGGGTAAGTAGCATTACTGTATATGATGCATTAACCTTCTCATTTCCCAAGCAAGCACAGCTTGGTAAACATTGCTGTTATCTACCCACCACGGTGCTTCTTTCCCTTTTTTCATAGAGACCTCATTTAATACATTTCTTGAGTCCTTTACTTTTCTACCAGAAATCTGTGCTACGTGTGACAAAAACCTCCATGGTTCGCTCACAAGGCAAATGAGAGAGGACTTGCTAATGCATTTAGGGTCAACAGTCCACGTACAGACATTGTTAGTGTATTAAACACAGAGGCAACACAAAACTACTGCCTGCAACCCCACACCAATAAGAACTTTTTCCCAGTCTTGACCTGATGGGATATAATACCAGCCCCATGACAATACCAGAACCATTTCTTAGGCCTTTGATCAAATAAATGTGATTGTGTAGCAGAGGAAATACTTACCATCCCCTTTGTTTTCTAGGGTATAGTAAGGTGCATCACACTGATACCGGACAGCAGCTTTGTAGAGAGGCTCATGGAGTTCGGAGACATATAAGGCTTGGGCGTTGTCAACAGGAGGGGGATCACCACAGTTCACAGCTGTAGAAACAAAACAAAAATGATTAAAGGGGCATCCTCACTCAACAATATGATTATTCTGTATGATGGGGAACCAATCAGCTTCTCTGATCCCTGTACAGCCATGGGCGCTCACTGTCTCTGTCCCTTTAGCATGCTCACCTCCCAGTCCTTCAGCATTCACCTAATCTGGAGATATAGTGGATCTATAGCCTAAAGACTCCATTCTAGTCTCCTTCCCACATACAGAGACGGGTCACTTACGAACACAGCTCAAATGGGAGTTGCTCCATTCACCATTGTCCTGACAGCTGGAGTGAAAACTTGTGATGCTATCTCGTTGCTAGGGAAAAGAACACATGATCCATGTAAGTCTCTGGACATGAAATATATCTGATATAGGCGCTCCCATGGAGTGTCCTTAAAATACTGCTGTGGCTGGAAGAGGTTTCTGCTTACTACTGCTGTGTTGAAAACTTTGAGTCCCCAAAGGTACTCAGGGCACCTGATGGGAAATGGCCTCATGATGTTGCTGAGAGGACCAGAGTGGACACATACTTTTTTATGTAACTTACCCTCACAATTTCATAGCCTTCCACACAGGTCACCTTCACATTGTCCTTTAAGATATACCTGTCCTTCTTTGGGTCAAGAACAGAGTTGGGGATGACACTCAGAGGACAGGTTACAGCTTTGAAGAGATAAGTGGAAATCAGTGATTATTTGGTTCAAGATTTACTTTCCTTCCAGCTCCCAACTTCTTTCTCCCAGTGATTTTTTTCTCTAGTAAACAGGCCTCCTCTTTTTACTCAGTATCAGCAGCAGCGAGCATGTTAATATGCTGTTGTACCATGAATTTGACCTGGAACAAACCCTCTCCCTAACTCAGCAACAGAATGAAGGCATTCCTAAGTGTTTACTCACGATCCCCATAGTAGCGTATTTTCCAGCCTTTGTGCTGTACAGCATGGTCTGTCTGGAAGATTATGTCAAGGATGTTGTTCCTAATTTTGATTTCAGGAGGACCTGGGAATTTGCTGCCACAATAGGGACCAAAATGTTGTTTTCCAGAGACAAGCTGGGAAAATAACAAACAAGAATAAATGAAAAATATCAAATGTATTTAGAGAAAGAGCAAAATGTATGCTCAATATGTACATATTCAAATGCGTTCTCACAAACTCCAAAAGGCAACATAGTTGAAAATAAAGTTAAGCAGTCAGGGAGTTTTCTGAATATGAGGAGGTTGATGGGAGATCCAGAACACCCTGACTCTCTCCCCACACCTACTGTTAAGCTGTCGAGGCAAGTCCCATTTGAGTTGGCTGGTTCCACGTCGAAGTCCCCGCTGCGTATGGTCAGCACCACGAAGTAGCCAGGACTCAGAGCCACTCGGTACTCACACCGTGAGTTCTCTGGGTACTGGTTGGGATAGTTGGGGCTGGCAATCTCCCCTGAGAGCTCAGTGAAGACATTTCCACTGCAGTTCACTAGGATTAAGGAAGGAATGCAAGCAGGATTCAGAAAGGAAACGGTCCACGTGCACTGCTGCCAAACTGCTTCATGCAATAACCATGTCACAACGTTTTATCTCTCCAAGAAACTGAAGCCAGGTCCGCTGTCTATCCAGTTAGCCAGACTTTAATTCCTTTTCACCCTCCACCTGCAATTTAGGCTCCTTTCATCATGCTCTGGTCCTCATATTATACTCCTTTCAACATGCACCGTTTGTGACCTTGGAACTTTTTGATTCAAGCCAAGCAGGCCCTTGGCCATCTTTTGTGTCTTTATGGAACTGCCCTGTTTTATTAGAGATTTAAAGACTCAAAGATAGCAGTACACTAAGGGTCTCCATCACAGTTTTTATAGAATGTCATTTAATAGTTTCTTAATTCTCTCGACACAAAAATAAAAATAAGAGTGTTAAGAATATGTTAACAGAAATTTCCAAAATCACAGTCTACTGCAGTTCAGATTTGCACTGTCTTGGGGTTTTTTCCCCAAAATATACCTGAAACAAATGGCAGAGAAGGTCTTCCAAGTACAATATCTCTGTTGGCCTAAATTATCTCTTGTTTTTGACCACAGCTCGTGTAGATGTCTCACCTCCACAAGTTCTGTTATCCTCATAGAGGAAATAATCTGGTGGACAGGTACAGAAGTAACCTCCAATGTAATTATTACAGTAATGACTGCAAGGCTCCTCCACAAAATCCGTGCACTCATCCAAGTCTGCAAGTGTGAAAAGTGGAATCAGCCAAAATTAGGAGAGGGCCCTGAGGGCAAGAGAAAGATTAGAAAGTGAAGCAAACACTAAAGGATAATAAGGAAAAGGTATCTCTAAGACAGTATTTATACTGGCCATGTTGGAATGCAGTCCTGTCTGCTGGGATCTCTTTTAAATAAGGCATTCTTGTAAGGAAAACCCTTCTATCAGTTTTTCTTCCTGCTCCAGCCTGCACACTACAAAGATTCAGAGGAGACTGTTTTAACCTTACCTACTGCAACATAGTAGGCTGCAAAACCAGTGAAGCGCTCCTCATTGGAAAAGTCTGATTGGAAGCTCAAAGTGAGGGTGTTGTAAGGGACGTGAAATTCCTCCACAATCGAGGAGCCAGGGGCACGAGGTTTCTTCTGCCCACAAAGCACGCCTTCAACATGGTCACCAGACAGGATCTGCAGAAGAATTCAGAGACCTCTTACTTTGCTACTGGAACATGGGTCATTACCAACACTTGATTCTTTCAGCTTATGTGTGCTAAAGTGTAGCTGAATGGAGCCCCTAGACAACCAGTTGCATGATATTTGTGAGACACTTGAGTAGTGCTCCCTCCTACTGACTTCCCAGCTGTGAAATACCTGTCTTAAATTC